TATATATTTTATATGTGTATCTTTTATATGTAAAATGAAGTAGTTATACTCTTAACAATGTTACAAAAATGGAATATAATAAACCCAAATAAGGAGATAAATCTAAAAACATAATATCATTTTTACTTTATATGTGTAATATTAATTTAAAAAAATATTTTTAAATGACAATTTTATTGATATAATTTAGATCTTAAGACCAAAATTAATTTCAAATATATTAAAAATATCACATTATTATGACTAAGCTTTGTTTTTTTTATCAGCTGGAAATTTTAATTAATTAGTAATCATATCACAAATCTTCTTAATAATAATAATAATAATAAAGTTAAATAGAAGAAAATAAAACAAAATACACAGCATAAATACGAACAATTATGCGAACAAATCTTACACACACACACACACACACACACACACACACGCGCGCGCGCGCGCGCGCGCGTTCTTTCACGCACAAATTCTAATATAATCGAATTTGTCTCTGTACAGACATATATTTATTTTTAAATGTATATACTGATACACAAAATATACAGATCTCAAAGATTTTAACAAAAGTATTAAGTACTGTTGAAAATATATATGGCGCAGTAATAATCCTGATGTTTTTAGATCCACTTAATTTGCTCGTTCTTATTAGATCTGACAGTGTCTGACTGAACTTGTAATGTAAGCGCGACATACGGTTTATCGCAATATGGTGAATCTAATGGAGGATAGTAATGTCTGTAGCAGACGTATGTTAAGCAGTAACCTATTACTGATCCTATCACCACGTCTGAAACAAATTCTGTATCATTATAATGTAAAATTGTAATAGAATTATATTACTTTAACAATAAGATTTTAAAAATTACCTTGCCAGTGATGGTGATAGTCGCACGTTCTGCTTAATGCGATAGTAAGAGCGATGCAAAGTGGCACAAGGAATGTGCACAGTTTCCACGATTGTCCTTTTCCTGCTAGGCTAAATGTATGTAATTTTCCAGCTAAATACAAGGCGATGAAGCCAAAACTGGCGAACGCAACTAAAACAAAAATTACTTCTATAAGCATAGTATATATTTTATAAATAATTTATATACATAATTAGAATTATATAATTTTATTTTTGAATGTTCTTTACATTGAAAAAAAATTGTTTATTTGACTACAATAATAATTTATTTCGCCTTTATTTTTTTTAATGAAGAATTTATGTATTTAAGTTATATATGTATTACATTTTACTTCTGTAATGTAATACATTCATTCTCCAACGAAAAAAATAAAGGCAGTTAAATTAATTTAGTCAAATAAACAATTTTTTTTCAGTGTATAAAAAGCAATACATTTTACAATTAAAATTAAAGAGATATAATATAATACATTTTACAAGTAAAATTATAGAGATATAAGGAAATATAAACTTATCCACTATAAGAAATATCTGTATTTGCTGCAATATTTGGACATACATGAGGAATGTCCGCTTGGGAATGACTTCTTTCCATCTCTAATAACAACTGGATCTCCAGTGCATTTAAATCCCGGATTCATTTGTCCATCCGGAAAACATCGCCAGAAAAAGTCTGGCCTTGGGCGACCTAAAAGTGGCAAAAAATATAATAATATAATATCACTTATTATATAATACTATTAAAACTGTAAATATTTTTTATTGCTTTAATGCATCTGTTACATATAAATTTCTTGATAATAACATACCTACTATAAGTTTTAAAATGTCTGTAATAAGACCGTTAAATCCTAAGGCTAACGTTACAGATAATACTGACTGGTGAAAATCGACTTTATCTTTGTGCATTATAAAAAAGAAGCAAATAACAACGATCGGCATCATGAATACAAGAGGCTGAAAAAAATATTTAACATAAATTAGTTATAGGATAACATTTGCTTATTAAAATTTTTATTCACTTTATTATTAATTATATTTATTAAAATCTTTTTATTTATATATATTTAAATTTAAAGAGATGTATACATATAAGAAAAAGACACAATATCTACCCATAATACTGTAGTTGGAACAAATGAATCTGTTCTTGGATTTCTATATAACCACAGCTCGTCTTCGTGAATTTTTCTTGTAAATGGTTCTGCTTTTTCCAGCTCCCTGAAAATCATCAA